ACACACACACACACACACACACACACACGGATTACTTAATTCTCTTTGTCCCCGACTTGGAGCCTCAGGTACCAATTCCAGGCTACAAGAAAAAAGTCCATTCAACTTCCTTTAGTATCCAACCTCTCCCTCTCTCAGCCTGCCTGAAACCAACTTCACCTTCTCCCTGGCTGCCCCTCTTCCCAGCTCACCCAGAAACTCCTGTACCTTTACACCTGGTGACCTCAGGCTACAAGGCTTAGTGTTGTCCTTGCCTCCTCTCTGTGATTGGCTTCTCATATCCAATACCAGGCTCAGCCCTCCTCAGACAGCAGCCTTCCCATCTCAGACCAGTCTCCTGAGAGCTCTAGGGTTCCGGTCAGAAGGAGATGGAGGTTGCCAAGTGCAGTAAAACACCAGCCACAAAGGGGTAGGTGGGGTTTAAAAGCAGCAAGGGATGCAGCAGGACCCCAGGGTTGGGACAGCAAGGACTCACTGCTACCTCTAGGCCTGCAGGGCCCACTTACCTGACTCCAGAGAGACCGTCTCCTGCCTCCCATGGGAACTGGGGGATGCAGTCCTTACAGGTCAGCCTCTTAGGCAGAGAGGGGGGGTGAGGGGTGGGGGGGTGGGGTGGGAGACAGTGGGGAGGGACCTGGAAGATCTCAGGGAGGACGTGAGGACAGGCAGCCCACACCACTTTTGTCATTCCTAGATGAGGGATTGGCTGTGTCTTCCCGTTCTCTGTTGGGATAAACCTGACATTCAAGGAATTGCCCATCAGCCCCTTCTTCTCCTTTCCTATTCCATACAGCACAGGTGTTCCACTCACCTAAGCTGGGATCCTGACTCTACAAGTCTGTTTTATATATTGCAAATGTTAAGTAACTTTAAAAATTTTTTAAAAATCTTATGCTACTTTGAAATCTAATTCTAAAGGGATGTTTATGCTTCTGGGGACAGGCACACTCCCAGGTCTCTCCTGACTGACTGGTGCTGAGATAACAATGGACCCTCTCCTTGCTGAGAGCTCTGGAACAGCAGCAAGACTCCCAGCTTGGAAGCTGAGAGGCTGTGTTTAAGGTCTAGCTCTGCCAGTTACTAACTGGACTAGTTACTCTGTCCCATACCTTCCTGTATTTCTCATTTGTTAATGGGGAGGATTGTGATAGCACTTCACGATGCTCAGGATTAATTAAGTAAATGATGAGGGCCAGGCGTGGCAGTGCAGGAGGCTGGGGGTGGGGTGAGGTGCTGAGGCAGGAGGATCATAAGTTCAAAGCCAGCTTCAGCAACTACGCAATTCAGCGAGACCCTGTTTCTAAATAAAATACAAAAAAGGGCTGAGGATATGGCTCAGTAGTTAAACGCCCCTGGGTTCAACACCTGTAACCCCCCCCCCAAAAAAAAAAGAATGCTTAGAAATTGGCATATCTATCGGCTGGGGGAAGGGACAGTGTTTTACTCATTTTGAGTCCCCTGCACTTGGCACTGTGACTGGAACAAAGATGGTGTCTGATAGTTTTCTAACCTGCATTGAGGGTGATGCTTTAAAGATCAAGGAGCTGGCTGTGTTAGGCAGCTCTGGGGTAGCTCATGCCCCCACCCCATCTTTGCCAGACTTCCTGTGCCTGAAGGTTTTGCAGACTGTGCCAGTAACCCACCCAACACCGAGGTCTCCAGCACCGCCTTAACATAAGGGCTGCGGAGGAGTCTCAGATGGCAACTCCCTCCCCATGTCTGGGTTTGCACTGCCATCTGGCGTGTGCTGGTGGGACAGCTAAGTATTGAGGTTTGTGGTTGGGTGACCTTTTCTGACATTGGGGAAAAGGGGCATCCCTGCATGGGCTTTTGCAGTGGTTAGACCCTCCCACTCCCAATTTGGCTTGAGCTTTTGGAACTCTCCAAACACAGATTTTTTTTTTAAACAATATCTCTGATTCTTCAGTCAAGAAATAACACCATCCTCTGCAAGCTCAAGTTTCTACTGTAGGCATTTCTTGTTCTGTCAAGATCCAAAAGGAATAGGGTCAAGTTTATGTGATATCTTGCCCCCTCTGCTGCCTGGCTTCTTCTCATCCCTGGACATTTAATTCTCTTCTCAAGAGTCGGGATTGTAGGAGCAGAGGAGGCGGGGAGAACTGAACAGGCCTCTCTATCTGGTGCAAGCAGCTCTCCGCCCTCCCTGCCTGCCCTCCTCCTGCTCCCAGCCTTGCTGTCTGTCTCCCTTCTCAGATCCAAGCTCCAAGTCACTGAACCCGAAGTGAGGAGTCTTCTAGGGCACAGATGGGGAGTGGAGGCTAACGTCCATCTTCTGCTGACCTCGCTATGGAATCTGCTACAAACGTCCGCCTTTTATCCTCAAATTGAACTACATGAAATTGTGGAAATGGAACTATGTTCCTGAATAGCAATTTCTCTGGGTTCAATGTGATTTAAACCCTAGTGCTAGTTGATGGTCTAGAGTCCCAAGTTTCCTGGGCTCATTTAGACCCAGGAGAACCAGGCTGGTGACACACCAGGTTCCTGGACTATGGAGCTGGAAGGAGAGCCTAAAGCCAGAGAGAAGACAGAGTTCACCTCAAGACCCCGACTCTGCTCCCTACATCAGAACTCCCTCTCTGCACACAGGTTCTGCAGTGAGCTCCAGGCTGGGTTTTGTTTGGGGCACACAGTCAGGGGTTAGCAAGGGAACCCTGGGGAAGACCCTCTTCTAGCCAGATGGTGGTTGCCCTCCTGGCTTTTTGGGGGTTTTCTGGGGGTCCTCAGGGAGCTTCAGGTTTCTGAACACACCCAACATCTCCTACCCCTGTATTTCCTGCTGAATCCTGGTGGTGCGGAATGAACAGGAGGCCAAGCTGAGCACAGGCAGCCCCATGACCTAGAGGACTCCTTTAGTGGTTTCTGTCCTCTGCCAAACTTTGGGGGGTGGCCACCCGAGCAGGCCCAGGCAGTAAGCATCTAAAACTTATCCAAGGGATGAAGGCAAATCAGCCTAGGAGATTTTAAGTTGCAGAGTAACAGAAGGTTTATGAGTCACAGTTTATAGGACTCACTGGGGACAAGAGAGCTTCTCCTCTGAAATTTACCTGTCTTACAATCAAAGGACCGACCCATAGGTCTTGATGTCTAGGAACCTGGTGGTGCAGGTTAGGGATCTGGTCTCTTTCCTTCTAGGAGCATGCAAACAGGAGACAGAGGGGCTCAGCTCAGACCATTTTATTCATCCATCCATCGATCCAACCATTAAGCAAATGGTTATAGAGGGCCTCTATATGCCAGGCACTGTACTATGTGCTTAGCATAGAACAGTGAACAAAATAGACAAAAATCTGTTTTCCTATTATTGCAGCATCTTGGATAAGGCCATTAATAACTATGCTGTTGCCCAGCTCACATTTCTATTAAAAAATTGCTAACTCTTCTACCATGAGATAATTGAACAAAATGTGTTTTTAAACTTTAATAAAGGCAAGTGCCCCAGATATGTTAGATTTTTAGGAAGCTTTATACACAATTGGATATATCATTTCAGCCTATGTATGTTAACTACATATGCACTGGAAAAGTACAAGGAAGAAATAGCCCTTAAACATATGTGATGGTGTGTTGGATTGCATTTTCTAATATGGCCACAAGATCCCCCATCCCCTAGGCTGTTCAAGTAATGTAACCTTGATTCCTCCAGGGAGGGGTGAGGTCTACCTGACTCTGCGATGGAGGCAATACGGCTTCTGCCTGGTCTTCTTGAGAAGACCCATACCAGGAGGAAGCACATGCAAAACTCATACGTAGGTGATCTGGCAAAAGCCCCAGAAGAAGCCCCAGCTAACAGCCACATCACCAGACATAGCAATGAGGAAGTTCCAGTCACCCTCTAATTGCAACAGCAGAGACCCCAAGTCTGAACAGCGTAGTCTAGTCGACTCCCAGAATCCAGAGATAATAATGATCATTGTTGTTAAAGTGTCAGAACTTGGTGGTAATTTGTTATCCATCAATAGGCATCCAGAAAAAGTGGTTGAGGGGCTGGGGTTGTGGCTCAGCAGTAGAGCGCTTGCCTAGCGTGTTGGAGGCTCTGGGTTTGATCCACAGCACCACATAAAAATAAATAAATAAATAAATAAATAAATAAATAAATAAAACAAAGGTTAAAAAAAAAGTGGTTGATCTCTGGATTGTGGGATTATGAGTGTCAACAATACCTTTCTGGATTTTCTAAGATTTCTACAATGACCATTTATTTCCTTTATAACCAGTAAAAAAAAAAAAAAAAAATCATGAAAAATAAAACACAGTCTGAAATTTCCCCCCACTTCACCAAGGGAGAAACTAGTTCTAAATATAAATTTAGGGACTAAACTCAATTTGAAAAGAGCTTTGTATGCAAGATTTATTAGATACTGGAAAGAAAGGATTTGGAAGATAAATTTCAGCTGACAGGAGAGAAAGAGGGGAGTAGATGTGGGATGAAGAAACTTGGAAATGAATCTCAGTTTTCTGAGTGACCTTGAGCAAGCCTTTGCTCAAAGTCAGTTTTCTATTTTGAAAAATGCAGCTGGCTGCCTAAGGAAGATAACATCCACCAGGGCGCCTGGCCCAGAAAAGGCGCTCTAAGTGGTCGGTGAATCCTGTTTAATCAATGCCAATTATCAGGGGGCATCTGCAAGCCTTGTGGAGGGCCATCCTTCACTGCCACCAGAGGCTACAGTTCTAATTATGAAAATTGCCTGGAAAAGAACC